GAAGATGAAGGTAGAAGAAGAAGAAGAAGAAGAAGAAGAAGAAGAAGAAGAAAGAAGAAGAAGGTACTTCTCAAACTATGAGTACTGTAAACTTTGTCAAAATCCCATGGACAGGGAGGCCATAGGCCCTAGTGGAGAGTCTACTACTGTTGATTTGTAAATGGGCATGAGGTCAAACTGCCTTCTAGATACGTGTGTGTGTGTGTGCTTCTCAAACTATGAGTACTGTAAACTTTGTCAAAATCCCATGGACAGGGAGGCCATAGGCCCTAGTGGAGAGTCTACTACTGTTGATTTGTAAATGGGCATGAGGTCAAACTGCCTTCTAGATACGTGTGTGTGTGTGTGTGCATGCATGTGTGTGTGTGTGTGTGTGTGTGTGTGTGTGTGTGTGTGTGTGCCTATATATTAGTGCAGCACTCAGCATTGGCCAAAGAAGCCTTTTTCTGCAGTTAAGGTGTAACTGATCTAAGTGCTAATAAGTGACTGCTGAGTGCTCGACCCTAAATGAGGCACCAGTATCAACTCCATTAAGGCTCATGGAACATCCCAGAAGATGGGGTAGAAAGAATGTAAGAGGATGGGGAGGAGTACTGTGAAATGCTGTCTTCTGAACACAGCATGGCTTTTGGACTCATGAACTCACAGCAGCTATGATCTCACAGCCTGCAGAAGATCAAGCCAGCAAGATCAATCCAGTTCGGCAGGTTGCACTAATTGGATTTAGTGAATTAACCAAATACAAAAGAAGAGGACATGAAGGTGGGAGGGGCGTGTGATCATTTTTTTAAATAAAATCTTTCAAAATAGTTAATTCTCATAGTAAAATGTTAAGAATATTAAAGAGTTGGATATGGGGGCACACACCTGTAATTCCAGCATTTTGGGAGGTAGAGGCAGTAGAATCTCAAGATCTAGGCCAGTCTGGGATATACAGGGAAACCATGTCTCAAGTGTGTGTGTGTGTGTGTGTGTGTGTGTGTGTGTGTGTGTAGGAAATTTTATGATAACAATTGCAATAATGATGGTTAAAACATCAGAAGCATTTTTCATATCTATTATTTGTGTCCCAGCTTATGTTCCTTGTAAATTTTTCTGTAATAATTCTTCAAGGTATGAGTTAAAAAGCATTCCAGAGGCTGGAGAGATAGCTCAGCAGTTAAGAACACTGGTTGTTCCGAATCCCAGCACCCACATGGCAGCTAACAACTGTCTGTAACTACAGTTCCAAGAGATCTAACAGCCTCTTCTGACCTCCACAGGCATTGCACAACACAGGTTCACTTACCTACATGCAGGCAATAGATGCATACACATAAAATAAATAAGACATTTAGAAAGAAAAGAAAA